GAAATAAAAATCGAACTAAAATCCAAAATCGAATCCACAAATCCAGAAATCGGAGAAAACGGCCAAATTTCAGCGAGCATGAAAACAAATAATCAACCGAGAAAAGGAAATAATCAAACAAATAATCAAAACAGCCAATATTTGAACCATTGCATTATCTCAAATTTCAGAAATCGGAGAAAACGACTCTGCAGAAGCAAGAAGATTCCGAAAAATCCAAAACCAACCGAGAAAAGGAAAAGATTTCAAAAAATGAGAACGAAAATAGGGATTTGATTACGGATCCAGAACGAAAATGAGAGAAGATTTCAAAAAATCAAAACAAACCCAGAACAGAGAGATCTCCAAGAACCACGAAGGAAGAAGAGGGAAGATTGTACCTGCAGTCGTTTCTCGTCGTCGGCGTCAACAGACGACCTTCCGTCTGTCAAGTGTCTGCGCTGGCCTCAGTTAGAGTCGTGGTCGAGGGGAGATGCGGCGAGGGGAGATGCGGCTAGGGCTCTTTTTCTTTTGATCGGGGACGAGGGGAGACGAGGGGCAAATTGGGTGAAAAAAATAAAATGGCTGAATGGAAAGGCCATTCAAGCCACCCCCCACCTGAATGAGGATTCACTCAAATTGAGTGAATCAGCTTTCCCACGGAAAGCCTTTCCTAGCCAAAATAAAGCAACCAAACAATGGAATTATCAGAATGATGTTTCCTTTCCATTCCATTCCTTCCAACCAAACATGCCATAAGTATATAGTTGCCAAAGCGCACACATCGCTTGCAACGCTAACACCCATATGTTATTCGGCATTGCCGCTAATGCGTGCTTATGCTACCCACTATACAAGCTAACGTACCTCAACAAGGCAAAATCGACTCAACTCAATTTATTTATAAGTGCTTGACTCCTCAGAGAATACTCGTCGACATTCAGCTCGACTCGCTGTTAAGTGGCTCATCAGCCATCATTTGGTTCAACTCACCGTTACGTGGCTCGTCAGCCATCATACGGCTCAACTCGCCGTTAGCAGGCTCGTCAATTGCCATTCGCCTCAAATCACCTTCAGGTGACTCATCAGTTGCCATTTGGCTCGACTCGCCATTAGGTGGCACTTCAGCCATCATTCAGCTCGACTCGCCAATAGGTGGCTCATTAGCCACCATTCGGCTTGACTTGCCTTTGGTTGGCTCATCAACCACCATTTGGCTCTACTCGCCTTTGGTTGGCTCACTTGCCACCATTTACCAAGACTTGCCTTTGGTTGGCTCCTAGCAACTATTGGTTCTACTCTCCTTTGGTTGGCTCATCTGTCACCATTTAGCTCGACTCGCCTCTAGTTGGCTAACCTGCCACCATTCGGCTCGACTCGCCTTTGGTTAGTTCACCAGCCACCATGCAACTCGACTCACTCAAATCTTCGCTTCCTTGTCTAAGGTTGAGCTCACCGCTCTTGCTCCTCGTTCGACTCGCTCAATCGAGGATTGAGGGCTCACTCAAGTTTTCGCTTCCTTGTCTAAAGTTAACCGTTTATTGCTCACCGATCACGACTTGCCATCCATTGCTAGTCACTTACAGCTTACTAATTGCTGCTCGCTATTCAAAGTATGTTGCTCATAAAATCGTCATAAGCACATAACGAAATCGGATCCGGGCACTTTTCGGTATACTTGATGCAAACGGCCACTTCTTAAAGTTGTCAACACTTAAATTTTCTCACTCCTTGATCTGAATGACTTCGGCTAAGGAGTAAGGGGCTAACTATTGGTGCTTAATTTTGCCTACGTATCGCAACCATACACGTAGCTAGTAGTCACTTACCGTTTGGAGTAGTCCTTAGTCGATCAATCGATCCTTGATTTTCGACATGAAAGATAAGTCATTTTGCAACACACTATGAGTGTGGTCATTCGATCGTCACTCGACTCTTGATGCTCGGCATT